CTCAGGGTGTTGAATTTGATCACAGAGGGAGCGGAGAGCCTCTGTAGGACCAGAAGGTTAAGATTGACAAGGTCAGACTTGCATCTTAGAGAGGTTGTTCTGGCTGCAACATGCAGGAGGGTTTAGAAATGGGAATGGCTGCCGCCGAGAGCCCAGTTAGGAAGCTGTTGCATTAGTCCAGAGAGGAGGCGAGGCCTGAAGCAGGTAGCAGTGGGATGGAAATGAACCCACATTTAGAAGAAGGGGAGAGATACTGGTGGAATGGGAGTGGGGGGAGTGAGTGGGAAGAATTTGGCTGCTCCAGGGTTTCTGGCTTTATTAATATTGGCAGTTTGGGCAGAGAGGGAATAAATGAATAATATAACGTCAGTTTTGCTGCAGTCCAGCCATATAACGCTGGTTGGTAAACGGCAAGGTGGCTGACATATTGGATAGTCTTTCATTAAGAACTATAGAGCTCTAACCGGTTTGGCTCAGTGGATAGAGCGTCGGCCTGCAGACTGAAGGGTCCCAGGTTCGATTCCAGTCAAGCGCATGTACCTTGGTTGTGGGCATATCCCCAGTAGGGGGTGTGCAGGAGGCAGCTGATTGATGTTTCTCTCTCATCAATGTTTCTAACTATCCCTCTCCCTTCCTCTCTGTAAAAAATCAATAAAATATTTTTTTTTAAAAGAACTATAGAAACATTCATTTTAAAAAACTTTACAATTAAGCAAGATAGTTCCTGAAATCTAACAGAGACATTTCAACATAGGAAGAAACCATGAGTAAGAGGTTACCCAAGACTGGGAGAAACTTGACTAGGTCAGCTTTTAAAAGGGAAGTAATTAGGTAAGAGGAAAAGGTAAAAATTAGTAGATTCTCAGAAATGGAGGAAAAAGCAAATTTAGAAATTCTGCGTTTAATTGGGGGGACAGGTGGTGGGAAAGTGAGGACATTGTGTTGCTTTCTCTGTGTAGATGTGTACACTGTAGGACATAATACACAGTCGTGTGAGCAGATACACAGGGAGTGACTGTGTGGCCAGCAAGGGGCTACAGGGTGGAGCAGGGTGGAGATGGCAGGACCCCCACAAAGAGAATACTGGGAGGGGGTGCTAATTTAGACTAAGGGTCACCAGCCAGTACTTCCAGGCCTGTTCCCAGATGACCTGCAAAGTAAAGCAAATTGGTTGTGGTATTTAGAAATTTTGAGACTCACTGGTTTGTTTGTTTGTTTATTTATTTAAAATACTAGAGGCCCAGTGCACGAATTCGTGCACAGGTGGGGTCCAGCTCACCCGCCCCATGGGGGCTGATCAGGGGCGGGGCTGGCCAATGGGAGGAGCCACAGGTGGTTAGCTGGCCGGACCCGCCCCCAATTGGGGCAGGGGGGCGATCAGGGGCGGGACTGGCCGGGGGGAGGGGCCACAGGAGGTTAGCCAGCCAGCCCTGCCCCTGATCAGGCCTGTTGGCTGGCCACAGTGGGCATCATCGACCGGTGATTCCAGTCATTCTGGCATTCTGGTTGCTGGCTTTTTAAATATAGAGATATTTACTATTGACTTCAGAGAGGAAGGGAGAAGGAGAGAGAGATAGAAACATCAATGATGAGAGAGAATCATTGATTGGCTGCCTCCTGCACTCCCCACACTGAGGATCGAGCCCACAACCCCAGCTTGTGCCCTGACCAGAAATCAAGCCATGACCTCTTGGTTCATAGGCTGACGCTCAACCACGGAGGCAAGCCAGCCGGGCTTAGAAATTTTGAGACTTACTGGGTTAAATACTAGGTTGGCAAAACTGGCTTGGCAACCAGAGCAGATAGGCAGGTGCCCAGAGGAGACAGACTCATTCCAGGAGCCAATGGAGAAAGGGGTGCAGGCTTTTCAGGGAAGGTGGCTGGCATGTTGTGTCCTGCTGGTATTATTCCAGGGGAAACTGCCAGGTATTAAGATGGTTGTTTTGTTACCCAATAGCTACTCCCAGAGCAGTAGGGAATGGGAGAGAGCAAAGAAGGTAGGAGGCAAGGTTTGCATTTAAAAAACTACCCCAGCTTACCCAGCTGGCTTGGCTCAGTGGTTGACCATCAACCTATGAACCAGGAGGTCATGGTTCAATTCCTAGTCAGGGCACATGCTGGGCTGTGGACTTGATCCCAATGTGGGGCGTGCAGGAGGCAGCCGGTCAATGATTCGCTCTCATCATTGATGTCTCTATCTCTCTCTCCCTTGCTCTTCCTCTCTGAAATCAATAAAAATATATTTAAAAAAAACTTTCCCACCTCTTCACAAAGCCCTGAGCTCAGAGTGGGCCCAGAAACCCGGCAGGGGCGCAGTCATTTCACCTGTTCTTTCTCAGACAGGAACCTGCTGGGAATGAAACATGGGGTAGCCCCGGGCAGACAGAAGAAAGAAACCAGGGCCACCCTGTAAAATGCGGAGCAGGCCTTCTCCTGCTTGTCTGTGGGGGTCTTCACTTCCCCAGAAAAATTAGAGGGCAAGAGTCCTTGGCAAGAAACTTTGTGGAATCGGGACCAAGGAGACGTGGGGCTGTGAGGAGGAGAGGCCTCTGGTCTCTGTCAACAGAACCTGCCAGGCGCCTTGGCTAAAGTCCCATAGATTTTAGTGGTTCCCTCTTGCAGATGGAGGCTGGGACCATTGGGTGGGTGGACTGGAACGTGGGTTTCTGAGGGAAAACAGAATTCAAAAGGCTGGGCAGCACCTGGTGAATGCAGGCCCTGCCCTAGATCTGGGTTGGCAGGACCATGGACGTCTAGCCAGCCTCCCGGCGACTCTTGTGTTGATGCTACCTCCAGTACCGTCGGTGGTGTGGGACCCAGGGAACAGGGCTCAGCCCAGCCTGAGGACCTGGATGTCCCTGGCCCAACTCCAGGACAACTGCATAAACCTCGGGCGGGAGGAGGGCAGAGGCCCTGGGAGCGGCCTCCTGCAGCCCTGCCCGTGTGGGAGCCACTGGGCTAATGCGGTATTCTTTAAAGTGTGCTTTTATTGGAAATTCCAGAGTACCTAATTCTTCTTCTCTTCTCTTTTTCTACTAGGCCCTGGGAAATCATGAATTTGATAATGGTGCCGAAGGCCTGATTGATCCACTCCTCAGAGAGGCCACATTTCCAATTCTGAGTGCAAACATCAAAGCGAAGGGGCCGCTAGCATCTCAAATAGCAAATCTTTATTTGCCATATAAAATCCTTTCTGTTGGTGGTGAATCGGTGGGAATTGTTGGATACACTACAAGAGAAACTCCTGTTCTCTCAAAGCCAGGTACTTTCTACGTTTATAGCACTCCTGGCTTGAAAATAGAGGCACCAAATCAGAGCTTGGCACTATTTTTATGGACTGTAGGTAGAAGGAGGAACAAGGGGTGGTGTTGGGAAACAGTGTGCCTAGGATGGCATTGACAAAACCAGTCTGGTGGCTCCCACATCGTTCTAGGTTACTTCTTAAGGACATTCGCTCTCCCATTCCGTGAACTTCCTTGATGACAGTGTCTCTGTTTAATTCAGTGCATTTAAAATTGGAGGAAAAATCTATTTAAATCCAGGGCTAAACAGTGCAGAGTCATTTACTGGAGAATAAAAGCCACATAATCACTGCCCTCATCCCATGGAGTCAGGGGGCCTAGAGCGAGGGTACTACACCATTTAGCTTATCTTTCCTTTTCTGGTCTGATTACTACATGTCTAGTTAACTCTCCTTTCTGCCTTTGCCTTGTTCGTCTTTTCTAGTTGGAATGACTTTGCTATATCTGGCTTTCTGGGAAATATGTATATATTCTTGAATGGTCTGATGATATCTACATCTACATATGTATATATATTTTAGAAGACATATATCTGCCCATATCTTTATATACACTTATACACAAGCTTTTATGTATAACCCTAAGACCATTCAAGAAACATTTCTGAGCCACTTTTACAGGAAGGAACACTTTCACAGAAACACTACCAGTGAGAATTACATTTTTTCTAAATTCTCCAAATTAATTTTCTTTCCATATTTGAAGAAAAAAGGGAAACTAGGAGCTATCAGAAACAAGGATTTTCATCAAGAACTAGTTGATACACCTGTCAGAATGGCCACCATCAATAAATCAGCAAACAACAGGAGTTGGCGAGGATGTGGAGTAACGGGAACCCTCATGCACTGCTGGTGGGAATGCAGACTGGTGCAGCCTCTGTGGAAACAGTATGGAGTTTCCTCCGAAAATTAAAAATGGAACTGCCTTATGACTCAGTGATTCCCCTTCTGGAAATATAACCGAAGAAACCTGAAACACTAATTTGAAAGAATATATGCACCCTATGTTCATAGCAGCTGTTTACAATAGCCAAGATTTGGAAGCAGCCCAAGTGTCCATCAGTAGACGAGTGAATAAAGACGCTGTGGTACATTTACACAATGGAATACCACTCGGCCATAAAAAAGAAGAAGGAAATCTTACCTTTTGTGATAGCATGGATGGGCCTAGAGAGTATTATGCTGAGTGAAATAAGCCAGTCAGAGAAAGACAAGGACCATGATTTCACTTAAACTAACAAAATAGAAACAGTCATAGATACAGAGAACAGGCTGACAGCTGTCAGAGGGGAGGGGACTTAGTGGGGGGTGAAAAGGTGAAGGGATTAAGTAAAGAAAACAAAATTGACTGACACGGACAACAGTGTGGTGATTACCAGAGGGAAAGGGGGTTGGGGGGAGGTAGAAGAGGGTAAAAGGGGGATAAATGGTGACGGAAGGAGACTTGACTTGGGGTGGTGAATACACAGTACAATATGCAGATGATGGATTATAGGATTGTACACCTGAAACCTATATAATTTCATTAACCAATGTCACCCCAATAAATCAGTAAACATAAGATTTTTAAAAGAATTAACTGCTAAAGGACGTATAATTATTTAACAATTAGGAAAGCAATATATTTATTGTTGCTGTTAAGATAGGTCCAGGCCATTGGAAACAACAAAAAGGTCAGCTGAACTTTACCCTGAGCAGCATGGGTCAAGATCCACTGAGGGGAGGTGGGGACGGTCATGGACTCCAGGCGGCAGGTAGACAGCTAGTCCACGGGTGACCACCCCTTTGCACACTGCATGACACACAGTGTATAGATGCTGCTGAGGTCGTGTGGAGCCACAGGGTGGAGTACCAGTGAGTACCAATCACGGGCTTTTGAAATGTTTTAGAAGTGTTCCTCCAACTCAGAAGGATGCGGCCCCAGCAGCAGGCCTGACGGACTGTCTCAGCTGCTCCCGTCACAGGGATGGGTTTCATTTCAGTCTTGCTGGTCTTTGAAGAGATGAACACTTTTTTTATATATATAATTTGTTAAAATATTTTATTGATTTTTTTACAGAGAGGAAGGGAGAGGGATAGTCAGAAACATCAATGAGAGAGAAACATCGATCAGCTGCCTCCTGCACACCCCCCACTGGGGCTGTGCCCGCAACCAAGGCACATGCCCCTGACCGGAATCGAACCTGGGACCCTTCAGTCCGCAGGCCGACACTCTATCCACTGAGCCAAACCGGTCAGGGCAAGAGATGAACACTTTTACCCACTAGAGCTGTCAGGCTCCTGGGTTTTGAAAGTTCTTTACAAGATATTATTCATGTTTCGGCAATTTCATTTTAGTGATGATTATTAGAAATTTTGCTTACAGGAGTCTCAGTGATGGTGAACCTTTTGAGCTCGGCGTGTCAGCATTTTGAAAAGCCCTAACTTAACTCTGGTGCCGTGTCACATATAGAAATTTTTTTATATTTGCAACCATAGTAAAACAAAGATTTATATTTTTGATATTTATTTTATATATTTAAATGCCATTTAACAAAGAAAAATCAACCAAAAAAATGAGTTCGCGTGTCACCTCTGACGCGTGTCATAGGTTCGCCATCACTGGTCTAGATGATCTGGAGGACTCCTTTGTGACTGAGTGCTGGATGTGACTCCAGGGCAGTGTGTCTGTCTGTGTTTGCAATCACTCTGTGCCAATAAAGGCCATAAGACCCCAAGGCTTGCTGAGGCCTGGCTGCCGAGACAGAGACGGGTGGTCTTGCCACACTTAGTAGCACATGCTGGCAGCCCACAGAGGGCAAAGCTGTGCAGTCACACCCACACTTGCCAACGGGCAGTGGTCTGTCCCCACTGTGGGGGGAGTAGGCAGCCAGTGAAGATGAGCACTCTCAATACCCAGATGGGACCCCTGTCTATGCAGAGCTCAGTGATACTCTCATGCTGACCTTAGCCAGTGAGCAGAACAGAGTTGTCAGCCCGCGTGTTAAGGTTGGCATACAAGAACTAGTTGCTGACAGAGTTGTAAGTTTAAGACTGATTATCCTAAACTTGCAAACAAAGCCTTAGCATTTTCTGCATTGGTGTAAAGGAAGTCTACATATAAAAATAGAATAGAAAACAAAAATAGGCTTGCAGGTCTGAAGCCTCCTCATAATTTGAGCTTGAATTTTGAGCAGCATATCATCCGCAACCTTAAACGAATGCAACATTAAGTGAATGTAACTGAGAATCAATAACCTGGATGGGCAGAAAGGGGCTTTGTAGCGATTTTATATTTAATTTAAAAACTATGTGTTGGCACCCTCGCTAGTTTGGCTCAGTGGGTAAAGCAGCAACCTGTGGACCGAAGAGTCCCAGATTCAATTCCAGTCAAGGGCACATGTCCAGGTTGCGGGCTTGATCCCCAGTAGGAGGCGTCAGGAGGCAGCTGGTTGATGTTTCTGTCTATCTCTCCCTCTCCCTTCCTTTCTGAAAACAATAAAAATATTTTTTAAGAAAGTAAATAAATAAAATGTGTTGGCCTTAGTCATTTAAGAGCTTTAGCAGATTAAGATGTTTTTACTTAGCATGTTAGTGTGTACAATAAGTAGTATAATAAAAAGTATTAATACATATCCATTGTATTTGTTTTGTTCCTTTTAGGGCCAAATTTAGTATTTGAAGATGAAATCCCTGCATTGCAACTGCAAGTAGATAAGCTCACGACCCTCAATGTGAACAAAATTATTGCACTGGGACACTCTGGTTTTGAAATGGATAAACTCATCGCTCAGAAAGTGAGGGGCGTGGACGTCGTGGTGGGAGGACACACCAACACGTTCCTTTACACAGGTAATTGCTTCAGAAGGGTTATACCAGCCAGGGGTCTACATAGCTTAGTCTCTTTTGCTTTGCAACTGCTATTATTATTTTTACTACTGTTTAGCATATTACAGAAATTACATATGTAATCTACACTAATAAAAGAGAAACATGGTAATTAGTGTACGACCGCTACCCTTTTCATTGGCTAATCAGTGAGTATATGCAATCCATTGTATTTGTTTTGTTCCTTTTAGGGCCAAATTTAGTATTTGAAGATGAAATCCCTGCATTGCAACTGCAAGTAGATAAGCTCACGACCCTCAATGTGAACAAAATTATTGCACTGGGACACTCTGGTTTTGAAATGGATAAACTCATCGCTCAGAAAGTGAGGGGCGTGGACGTCGTGGTGGGAGGACACACCAACACGTTCCTTTACACAGGTAATTGCTTCAGAAGGGTTATACCAGCCAGGGGTCTACATAGCTTAGTCTCTTTTGCCTTTGCAACTGCTATTATTATTTTTACTACTGTTTAGCATATTACAGAAATTACATATGTAATATATTATACATATGTAATACACATTGAAAGGTAATAGGTGTAAATCTTACTCAGAGACATTACTAAAAACAGTTTATTGCTTTCATGATTGTCAGTTTCATGTATGTATATTGTAAATATATATATATATAGCAAAAAGATTACTGAACCCCAACCAAAAGTCAGTTTATATAAAAAAGCAACAAGTCATATGAAAATGTTTAAGCATAAACAAGCTACTATAAATAAGGCCTTCCCCGCTCAAAGGGGCAGGGCTTGCTTTGTAGGTTCACAGGTGCAGGAGCTGGAACCCTGGGTTCAAGTCCTGACTCAACTGCATCCAGGCCTCTGAGAGTCCTGGAGCCACGCTGCCCCTGCCCCTCTGGAGACTGTGAGCTCTCCCCTGCCTCCCTTCTTTCCCTCCCCGGCTCCCTCTCCCTTCTCCTACCTCTTCTTCCCCTATCTCTTGCTCCTGCCCCCTCTACCTCAGTCCTCTCTCTCCCTCCCTTTGTCTATGTGAGAAGCATCCAAAGCTGTGGAGAATTTGTGTGAGCATTTATTGGAGCAAAACAGGATATATGCCGGGGGCAAGATTTCAGATGCTCCTAAAAATAGGAGTTTTGCAGTTTATTTTATGCACTTCAAATTAAGAAGAGGAAATAAGGAAGATTGGAGAAAACAAGGTGGCAACTGGATTACAGGATAGTTAACAGGATTGTGTGCTCTCTTGAGGGTGAATACTCCACTCAAGGGGTCTTACTGCTGGCATTTCAGGGGTGTATTAACCTGGATGCACAGGAGCAATGGGAAGAGCTGGCTTAAAACCTTCCAGTAAAGAAGCTATAGGCCTGGGCTGTGACTACCCACCATGACCTGCCCAGTTAGGAATTTATGATCAGATCACCTGTGAGCTTACTTTCCAGAGAAAAGTTGCTCTTTCATCCTCACCTTTCTTGCTCCTCTCCTTTTTCCTCCTCCCTCCCTTTCCCCTTCCTCTTTCTCCCCTCCTTCCCCTTCTCTCCTTGATGTTAAAACGCCCCAAAATGTTTGAGCCTGGCTCGGTGCTCCACCACTGCATGGAGCTTTAAAGTGTTTTCAAGAAAAGGAAGAAGAAGAGGGCCTGGCTGGTTAGGGATTTTCTCAGCAGCAAGAAGGAAGGCTTTGGTGGGGAACAACCCACTCCTTGAAGAGGTGGCTCCTTCGCACATCTGTGTAGCCTCTCTAACGTGATAAAAGCAAAGATAGACTACACCCCAAACAGCAGAAAATGTTTTAAAGGGTTATCACCAAGAAGAGTGTAGACAAGGAGGAAATGTCTCCTCAAGGTTCTGTAATCAAATAGACATGAGACAAATTAGAAATAGACAATAACCAAAATTAATACATGCATAACTATGGGAGCCGCCCACATGGGAGTCAGAGACTGAGGGTTGAAAGGTGGTATCTGTGACATTCTGAGCTAAGGATAAGGGAAGGTGCCTGAGGCTCCAGAGGGGAGGAGGCCATTGAAGACCAGGTGTTCAGCACTTGGAAGTCTCCGCTGCCCTGTAGAGAGGTGAGACAGACATTATTTCTGGTGATAACTCTCACTATGGGCAAGGCTTCCATTTACATTCTTTAAGGGAGAAGTAAACGTTCCTCTGGGCCTTAGGGTCTCGATCGCCTTCAGCTGAAAGTGACCCACAGGCCCGGGTGGCACATCTCGGGGAGGCTGTCTGACCCCCTCGGGTGAGCAGTGGGTGGAGGCTGCCCTCGGGTGAAATAGGCCAGTCAGAACGGTGACACTGGTGAACTGTTGCACATGGTGGGGCTGGCTTTCCTGTGAGAAAATAATGCCAGAATTAACAGGGGCGCACCCAAGGCCTTCTCAAGTCGTCTCCCTGTTGGTAGACACAGGCTAAAGAATTTCAAAGTGGGTTACACCCATCAGTGAGTGTGAAGGCAATGTGGTGGGTTAGAAAACAGTGGGTGGTGTCTTTTTTTCCAACAGATTAGACAATCAAACGTCACCCCTGTGTTTAATTTTCTGCTGTTTAATGGAAAAAGATGTCTATATAAAGTGGTGAGAACAGCCCCAGGCACGTAGCAGGCAGTAAGTACATCCGTGTGGCGAGGAAGGGGATGGACAGACAGTGATGTGAGCTTTCTCGGTGCGGGGAATGGTGCGATCAAACATCAGAGAGCCACGAAGCACCTTGGGAGAGTTACGGGGACGGCTGTGGCAAGACGGGCAAGTCCAGAGCGGCACTGCGTCAAGTGCTCTGTTTGTGCCGCTAACTGGGGGTTCGGCCCTGACTCGGCCTGATTTCCCTCGCTGTAGAGTGAGGGTGGGAATCACAGAACCTATCATAAGGGTCACTGGGACGCCGGTGTGTAAGGGTGGGTGAGGGCAAGAGCCTCAGAACAGGGCCCGGCGCCCGGCGTCCATGTCTCAGTCCTGTCCCTGCTCTGTAGACAAGGCGCACGAAAGCCTTCCCTGAAGCCTCTTCTGAGCTTTTCTCTGAGGCAGTGTCAGAGCCCCAGGACACATCGCGGGATCTGGAGATGTGCTTCCCACACTTCCTGCTTAGAGCAGTGATTTCAAACTTTTTTGCTATAATCCATAGTAAGAACGGCATTGTGTGTGTGTGTGTGTGCGCGCGCGCGCGCGTATGCATTCTCACACCTAAACACACAAACGCAAAGAAACTTTTATGGAGCACCCAGAATGCACTCTGACCTCTTCCGTTCTTCTGTTCCATTTTTCTAAGTGCCGGTTACAACCCTTAATCTTCATACTGTAGCCAGCCCATATTTTGGAAAACTCAGCTTTAAATGAGTTGTGACCAAGACAGAGCATGAACAATCGCAGGCTCGAACCTCTCCATTCGGATGCTGAAGTCACTCCCGGGTTCCTCGGGACTTACCTTAACTGATGCCCTCCTACAGCACCACTTCCATCCACAGCCTTGGGGAGGCCATCAGTTAGCGTGCGCTGCTGGGTCTGAAAAGGGTTGCTGGCTCCGCCTGGCTTCCCACGGATTCTGCAGCTGTCCTTTTGTTCTTGCCACTTTGTTCCAGCCCATGAAGTCCTGCAAAACACTGTGTGCCTTTTGCTAAGTAGCCGACTTTAGTTAATGATGAATGACTGGATGAAAGAAAGATGTATGGGTAAAAGGTATAAGCTGCTTATCCATAAATCTCAAGGGGGATAGTTACAGTCTCTGAAGAACACTGCCTCTAGAATCTTAGTCATCCATTTCACGTTTTCTGATTGCGTGGCAAGATTAAACTTGCTCTTGCGAAAATTTTCAGTTTTGATACCCATCATTTTGAGGAATGAGCTGACAAAGGTAATAAGGGGATTCCAGGACACAGGAAGGGATGAGGCATATTTCCTTGTTTAAGTACATTTTTTCAGCTTTAAAAAAAAACAAACACGAACCTCCACTGAATTGTTTGAATTGCATTAGCATAAAGTTAAGTTAAATATTATTAGTTAAAAAAATATAGTTAAAAATAATGCATCCCTTGCTATTGTAAATCTTGCTGAGAATCATTTCAACACACATACACCTGCTGCCACACACACACACACACACACACACACACACACCATCACACACACACCATCACACATCACACGCGCGCGCACACACACACACACACACACCTGAAAGAGAATTTCACAAAGATCTGGATTGCACCCAGTATTTTTTCTGTTTTGTTACTTAATTTGTTTACTTAATTTGAAAACTCAGCTGCAGGATAGGGGGAGATTGAAGCCTGGAAGTCTCCGTTTGACCCCTTAAAGGATCAAATATATGGTGATGGAAGGAGATTTGACTTTGGTTGGTGAATACACAATGCAATGTACTACTACATACGATGTGTTGTAGAATTATACACTTGAAACTTAGATACTGTTATTAGCCAATGTCACCCCAATAAATGTAGTTGAAAAAATAAAATAATAAATTTTTTAAAACTCAGCTTTAAATGAGATATGACAAAAACAGTACATAAACAGCCCTTCTGCAAATGTTGAGCATCAGTCTAGGTTCTATTGATTACAACCCCTGTGCATGTGTCAGAATGAAGAGGAGAAAGCTCCCCCCCCCGCCCCTGCCCCAACCAGGCTTACAAACTGTTACAGCTGCAGGGACAAGGGCTGGGACGCACATATCTTCTCTGAAGAAATTAAGTCCAGGTTGTTGCCTTTGGAGAAAAAGGTAGTAAGGTGAGTGCAGGTTGAAAGCAGCAGCAGGTCATCCCGGGGACTCTGTTCTGTGTCAGCCCTTGAAGGCGGACAACTCCTAAGGTGCTGTCTCTCGGCCTCCCACGACTCTAAGTTATTCTTGGGTTATACCAGCCAGCCTGGCTGGCTGTGGCCGTGGGTGAAAGTAGACATCAGTTTCTCTATCTGCAGAATAACAGGATTGATCCCTTCCATTCGAACACCCTGTTCCCCAGAAAGTCATCTGTGCAAAGAGGCTGATTGCTTACTTTCCAAAATCAGGGGAGATAAAACATTTTCTGGCAGAACACTATAGTTTCTCAAGGGTAGTGCAGTGAACGTACTTTTACCTCTAATTTCTTCGAGGCTTATCTACAGGGGAATTTGTAAAGACCTTGTCAGGCTTTGGAAGCAGAGCTTGGGTCTTCCATGCCAGACGATCTCCAGGTTCTCTTTATTTAAAGTGTGTCCTGCACACTCCCTTGCTCACCAACCCAACTGAAAGGAATGGTTGGTGGGAATCAGCTGTTAAGACCCCCTCACTGAGCACAAACACAGCACTTCCCACTGGACCCCTGGATGTGACCACTACCTTGGGAATGCCTTCTCCAGCTAAATACTGATTTTCCCTAAAAAAAATATCAGGTTTACATGAATTTGTGGTTGTGTGTACCTCCTAATTAA